GTGTGTTTGTGTGTGTTTGTGTGCCTTGGGCAAATGAAAGATGTGTGTTTGTGTGTTTGTGTGTATGTATGTGTGTGTTTTTGTGTGTGTTTGTTCACGCGCATAAAAATAAAAAGGATGGTGGATATTAAAAAAATGAGAGTTAATTCGACTCTGCGACTATTACATGTACAAACATCCACTTTTTTTAAAGTTCATTAAACCGTTTCTTTCTGTGGGGGTTGTTTTTGTTTTTAGGTGCGTTCTAGGTGCCTTTTGGTTTGTTTGTTTGTTTTGTTTTCCTATGATTTGTTTTGGGGTTTTTTCTTGTTTTGTTTTGTTTCGCAAACTTTAGTACAACGAATGTATATAGCAGAACAGAGTGTCACCGTCCTTTCTCAAAGAACGCCATTAACAAACTCGTTCTATTCGTCAGCAAAGTCCCTCCTCCTCCAAAAGTGCTTGAAAAGCGATACTGTATTGGACACCTGTACCCACCATTGTTCAACCGCTCTGTATTATTGCCCCGGACTCTTTACAATTGTCTTCTGTGTACGCCCAGATGTTGACGACATGGCCCCATAAAAATAAGAAATAACTGTACGAAGAAGAAAGGGAACGAAATTGCCCTTTTGTTTAGCGTATTGCGCCACCTCGGGCGTTTATTACAAGTCTCCTCTCTGCTCTTCTTTGATTGTCTTTCTCTTTACAAAGGAGGCCTGTAGATCTTTCTTTTTTAATCAATTTTTGTTCACGAGAAAACGAGAGGGCTTCTAAATCTTTGTCTTTATTTTTCCCAACCACTTCTAAATGGGTGGCTGACGGGTGCAGTGGTGTGATTTGCTCCTTCTTTTTTTTATCATATACCTGCTATCGTCCATTACCTCCCCTCTTTCTTTTATTTGATATAATATGATTATTACTCTCTGGTAACGCCTCTCATCTTCGGCACGTACACGACCTATTTGTGTTGCAAGTGCTGTAAAATTCTTACTAAAAACTAAACAGGTAAGAGTGCCACTCCTTCTCCCCCGCTTACTTTGCAGAGAGTGAGTCACACACTCTTACTCAAAGGCCAGGCTACACAACCACTCCTGGAGGGTGCAGTTCAAAGCTGTGAATAGTGGGTTGTTGGCGGGTGCTCTGGTGTGGTTTGCTCCTTCTCTCCTATCAAACATCTATGGTCCTTATCTCCTCTTCTTCTTTCTTATATGTGTTACTTTCTCGTAACACCTCTAACCCTCTGGCGCTCATATGACCTAATGAAGCTGCGAGCGCCGTAAAATCTCTACTAAAATTAAAAGTAAAGCTAAAAAAAAAGTGAATTGTGTTACAAACAATTGTCTCTTGAGATGACCGAAAATTAATATCAAATTCAACATCAACAACAACAACAACAACAACAACAACAACAACAACAACAACAACAACAACAACAACAACAGTTTCATTCTTGGTGTATCATGGCATGGCGCCACTCTGCCACCCTGCTAACCGCGTTCAAGTCATTCAAAATATTATTTATATCTAAATTAATGTCATCTTTAACATAATTTTCGTCCAATCTCTCCCTCTGTGACGTAGATGTGGGGAAAAGATTGTTGTTATAGTAACACATTGTTGCTGTCGTTCTCTACATGTGCGCCTTTAAAAAGTGGCTGCACTCATGTCTGACAGATTTGTTTATTTCTTTTTA